GGCTCTTTTCTGGGATTAGAAACCTCTTTACACAAGCATTCATTGCCGAGACCATACTGCTGCTTCTTTGTACCCTGTTTTACCTTGATTTTTAGTTCAAAAATAGAGTATTTTTGCACTCTTTCTATTCATCCTTCTTTGCCAAAATTTCTTAGAGCAGTTTCCATTTTTATTTCTACCTTTGCCAACCTTCATTACTGTTGGTTTTCGTTTTGAGTGATCGGCCTTAATCACTAGGAGATTATTATTCGTGAAGAATGTTGGAGGTTGTAGAGACGACTGCAGAGGCTGTGGTACAACAAAATGAAGCAGCGCCACAGGAGTTAGGCAGTCTCAACCAAAAAGAGGTCGAGAGGGTGAGATCTCTTATTGGCAACCTTAACAAACCTTCAGGTACTTGCTCATTAACATATTCAGGTGTGTTTCCTACCTCTATTGGATTAAATGTCTCGAGTGAATTCTTTGCCAACTCCTCGATCATGGACGCAGGAGCTACCGACTATATGACCTACTCACCGAATGGTTTTTTCACATATTTGCCATACCCAAGTAGTAGGAAAATAGCCATAGCCGATGGTTCCTTAACCATTGTAGTAGCTGTATGAGATGTCAAAATAGGCCCATCACTAATTTTAAAAAATGTTCTCTATGTTCCTAGATTATCCACAAACCTTGTCTCTATTCAAAACCTCACTCAAGATTTCCATTGCAATGTAGTTTTTCATCATAGTTATTGTGTATTTTAGGACAAGGATTCAGGGAGGATGATTGGACATGCTAGAGAACGGGATAGGCTCTACTACCTCAAAGCACCGAGTCAGCCAAGCATTACTAAGGGCAAATTATCTCACTCTTTTGTTTTTGAGCATTTTTCATCCAATAAAGAAAAAGTTTGGCTTCACCATCACCAACTTGGACATCCATCATTTAGAGTCATTAAAATTATGTTTCCTTCTTTATTTAAAGGTTGAAATGTTGAGAATTTTCATTGTGAAATGTGTGAACTTGCTAAACACAAACGTCTATCTTTTCCAGTCAGTAATAAAAGAAGTTCTATTCCTTTTTATCTCATTCACAGTGATATTTTGGGTCCTTCTACTATTCCTAATGTTTCTGGGGCACGATGGTTTGTGTCATTTATTGATGATTGTACTTGTGTTACTTGGATTTTCTTGCTCAAACATAAATCCAATGTCAGTACTGTTCTCCCAAATTTTTGTTCTATGGTTAAAAATTAATTTGGGGTCAATATCAAAAGGTTTAGATCGAATAATGCTAGGGATTATTTCGATCAAATCCTAACTCCATACTTTTAAAAGGAAGGGATAGTACACGAGTCATCTTGTGTCAATACCCCACAGCAAAACGGCGTAGCAGAAAGGAAAAATGGTCACCTTCTTGAGTCATCCCAAGCTTTCATGTTCCAGAAAAATGTGCCTAAATCCTTTTGGGGGGAAGCAGTTCTTACAACCGCTCATCTTATAAATCGTTTATCTTCCAAAGTCTTAGGATTCAAAAGTCTAATGGAGATGCTTTCAACATTCTATCCTAACCTACATACTACAAATAATCTTGTCCATAGGATATTCGGGTGCGTGTCATTTGTTCAAATTCATAGTCAAAATAGGGGAAAGCTAGATCTGAAGGCGTTAAAATGTGTCTTTATGGGTTATTCTTCAACTCAGAAGGGGTATAAATGTTATCATCCTCCATCTAAGAAGTTATATGTCTCAGCAGATGTTACTTTCAATGAACAAGAGTCCTATTTCACCACTCCTTATCTTCAAGGGGAGAGTTCAATAATGAAAGATAAGGATAGGAAGGATAGGGATTTTTTACTTGATCTGCTGTCACTTCCCATATCTAAATCAGTTTCTTGTTCCCCGATGCAAAATCCTGTGTCTAAGTCCGTGTCTGAGCCTATGCCAAATCATATGTCTAAACCCGTGCCTAAAATTCCCTAGGAAATAACTGATTCTGCTCTTGAGAATATGAGTTTTGGCGAAGTATTTTCAAGGAGGAAGATGGCTGTCCCTGAATTTGTGCAAGTCCGAGACTCCAACTTAGATCCTGAGAATGAGTTAACAATTTCTAACCCTTAGGTTAGGAAAGGAACTAGAGAGTGCACAAAACGACCTATATATCCTCTCTCACATTTCTTATCCTTCAAAAAAATTTCACCATCCTATAGATCCTTCCTTGTTAGCTTAAGCCCCATTGTTATCCCTACCACCTTATCCGAGGCTTTATCCAATGAAAAATGGAAACAAGCTATGAATATGGAGATAGAGACGTTGGAAAAAAACAAAACCTAGGAGTTGGTGAAATTATCGATAGGAAAGAAACCTATGGGGTGTAAATGGGTTTACACTGTGAAGTATAGAGCAGATGGATCAATAAAGAGATACAAGGCAAGGTTGTGACTCACATTGCAAGCTGAAACCGAACCTTAGGTTAGTGACTAAGATCTTTCCATTGTTGTTAGGAAAGGAACTAGAGAGTGCACAAAACGACCTATATATCCTCTCTCACATTTCTTATCCTTCAAAAAAATTTCACCATCCTATAGATCCTTCCTTGTTAGCTTAAGCCCCATTGTTATCCCTACCACCTTATCCGAGGCTTTATCCAATGAAAAATGGAAACAAGCTATGAATATGGAGATAGAGACGTTGGAAAAAAACAAAACCTAGGAGTTGGTGAAATTATCGATAGGAAAGAAACCTATGGGGTGTAAATGGGTTTACACTGTGAAGTATAGAGCAGATGGATCAATAAAGAGATACAAGGCAAGGTTAGTGGCCAAGGGTTATACTCAAACCTATGGAATTAACTACCTAGAGACTTTTGCTCTAGTTGCGAAGATGAATACTGTTAGAATCTTGTTGTCTCTAATGGCTAATTATAGTTAGGACTTGCAATAGTTTGATGTCAAGAATACATTTTTGCATGGAGAGCTAGAGGAAGAAATTTATATGGAAGTCCCGTAAGGTTATAGGAATAATTTGGCTACTCATATTGTGTGTAAGCTGAAGAAAGCCTTGTACGATCTTAAACAATCGCCACGAGCATGGTTTGGAAGGTTTACAAGAGTTATGATGGTCATGGGATATAGACAGAGCCAAGGGGATCATACATTATTCATTAAACACTCACCTTTAGGGGGAGTCACAGCCCTTTTGGTATATGTTGATGATATAATAGTGACAGGGGATGATGATAAGGAGCGACAAATTTTGAGTCAGTGTTTGGCTAAGGAATTTGAGATCAAGGCGTTAGGGAGGCTAAAATATTTTCTTGGGATCGAGGTGACTCACTCTAGATAGGGGATTTTTATATCTTAGCAAAAGTATGTTACGGATCTCCTCAAAGAAACCGGCAAGACGGTATGCAAACCAGTGAGTACTCCAATAGATCTTAACCTTAGACTTGGAAAGGCAGAGGAGGATGCTGCAGTAGATAGAGAAATGCACCAACACCTGGTAGGAAGACTAATTTATCTGTCTCACACACGACCGGATATAACTTATGCAGTGAGTGTGATTAGTCAATTTATGCATAGCCCGAAGGAAGTCCATCTGCAGGCAACTCACCGAGTGCTACAATACCTCAAAGGGACACCAGGAAAAGGTATTCTGTTTAAAAGGAACGGAGACTTAGTTCTTAAGGCATACACGAATGCCGATTATGCTGGGTCGATTATTGACAGGAGGTCGAACTCTAGATATTACACTTTTCTTGGCGGAAATCTTGTGATGTGGAGGAGTAAGAAACAAAATGTGGTGGCTCGGTCTAGTGCGGAGGCAGAATTCCGAGCAATGGCTCAGGATGTATGTGAACTACTTTGGTTGAAGATTATCTTAGAAGACATGAAGATTAAGTGGGATGGTCCGATAAGACTCTATTGTGATAATAAGTCCGCAATCAGCATAGCTCATAATCAGTACAGCATGACCGAACAAAGCACATTGAAATTGATAGGCACTTCATCAAAGAAAAGTTGGAGAGCGGATTGATTTGTACACCTTATGTGTCTACACATGACCAACTTGCTGATGTACTTACCAAGGGGTTAAGCAGTTTAGTATTTCAGAGTATTGTATCCAAGCTGGGAATCGAAAATACCTATTCGCCAGCTTGAGGGGGAGTGTGGGAAAATGTGTTTAATGACTTGTATTATATACGTGTATAGTTAGTTATTTTAGGAAATTCTGTAACAGCCAGTATTCCTAAAATTAGGCTGATGCTGTAACAGCCTCTATTTCTAGAATTAGGATGATTTGGTTAGTTTTCTATTCTGTTAGAATATCCCATAAATCATGGGATCTGATATAACCTAGTTAGTTTTCCTTTTTCTGCTGCTAGGATTGATGTATATAGCTAACGTTTTGTGTATTATTCAAAATGAATGAAGGAAATTCTTTTCTCAGTTTGTGTCGATTACCAAATTAATTTAGGAGAATTTACATAAATATATTAAGAAATACAGCTCATGCTAACAGCATCTTGTATAAATACAATATTATATTTATTCTCTCTTTTAAGATTTCTAACAGTAGAAAATAATTTGTACCAAATTGTATAAATTGTTCTTGTCACAAGAGTACAGCAAGAACATCAGATACCTTGGTTTCTAATCTCGTGGATAATGAATAATGGAAAATTGAATAACTCTCTCTTATTGAGTTTTTCTGCCTTGGTTGGATTAACTACTTCTTAACGTTGAGGATATTTATAGAAAAAAACAGAGTGGATCGATTTTGCAAACCTGATAATTTATTAATGGAGAACTGGATACAAGATGGGGAGTAACAAAGTACAAATTACACTAAATGCTGAAAATAAATCTCACACTAAAAAGAAAGTAAAGTGCATGAAATGAAAATAAAGCTGTAAAAATGTTGAGATGTGCAAAGAGACTTCTTCATTCTTCAATTCCTTCTTATATCCCATGTTTTTCTTAATTTCAGTAAGCTTTCTTATCTCTCTCACTAACTTTCCTATAACCATTTATGCTTTAATTTAAATTTGGTATACAGATAACCAACATATCCAATGCCGGCAAGGAAGGAAACCGCTATTAGAATGATGATAGCTTTGCGCCCTCCAGAAAGTAAAGAGTCGATAGCTTTGCGTGTAAACTTCTTGAAATCAACGAAGAGCCTCCTAACGTCATTTTTAAAGTCATCAGCTACTGCAAGGTATGCGTCCAGGAACCAACTTAAAGCATTTAGAAGAAAGAGGCAACAAATGACGATTACACTTATTGCGAGCACCGGTGAATGTGCCAACACAACATAAAAGCCGGTCATAAATGCAACCACCATTGATCCAATAGCGCATATAATGGTTGCAAGAGCGTTGCGATAGCCATTAGCACGCTTATCTTCGTCTTTATAAGTGGATGCAGATATGTGGGTAAATACAGCTTTAATGGAGAAGATCATTGCAATAGCATCCGTCACAACAAATACATTGAAAGCTGCTCGTCTTACTAAAACTGCCATACCTTGATTTGGCCCAGCATTGCCGTCATAGCCCCCTGGAATAGTGAAACCAGCTGCAAAGGTCATGGTCGCTATAAGTGTAGCTACTATCAAATTGTTGTCCGAAATTTTAGTAGCTAACTCGTTCAATCGAGCAGAGTCATTTCCTTTGCGTAATTTGAATTTGTTTTGGCAACCCACCTCTGGTACCTGCGTTTTTCTTCTTTGATCAACTTGAAAACAACACTACTGATTCTATTGCAAAAATTTGCTAATCATCCATATCATGAAAATAAGTACAATACAACTTAATACAAGGCACTTTTACCTGCAAATTCACACCTTATCAAGATTAATATATTGTCACAACAGTCATGATCGTTCATGACACAACTAATCCAATTGCACAACAAAAATTGCACTACAAATATCGTAAGAAAAAACCTCCACAAACTCTTTACCCACTGGGACCTCCCACAGACTGCACAGCCTTTAGAGGATTTTTAGGCATTTTTATAAAATGTAATTCCTAATATCTAAGCAATTAGACAAGGTAGCATATTTAGCATATATTCACATAATGAAAATTTTCATATTATAGACAAGGTACCATCCTTACCTCCTGTGGATACATGTAACGGTTGTCACCATATACTACTTTGAGTGCAGTCAAAATTTTCTTGTGGTAGGGCGTGCTGTGGTCACTAGGGTCGTCTTTGAGACTGTAATTGAGATAGTCGGATTTAGCACAAAGCAAATGAAGAGGTGTGTTTCGATCTGTGTCTTTCTGATTTATGAGGCTGTTGGAAAAGGAATTTTCTAAGATAAATTCGATGATTTCACTTTTCTCATGCTCCACTGCAATGTGAAGGATATTCTGGCATTTATTGTTGATGTTTTCCCAGCAATCTGGACAGTATGAGAGAAGTTCTTTCATCACATCTAGATGACCTTGACTAGCTGCTAGGTGAAGAGCCGTCTTATTGTCATCTGTTTCTGCAGGAAGGTATGCCACGGATTTATCTAGATCAAGTAGGTGTCTAACTGCTGATACATCACCAAACCATGCAGCATAGTGAAGTGGTCTCCATCCAGATACATCTGCTTCCTTGATTAGTGATGGCTTCAAGTCGTGTAATATTTTTACGCATTCTGAAAGTAAAACATTTTATTAATGTAGTAACTAAATATATAACATTAGTAAAACATTTTAGAAATTACTTGTTCCTTACTAAAACGCTAAAAGTAATAAAAGCTCGGACTCTCAGCACAAAACTAATTTGTGTTAATTTCAGAGGATCTATGTTTTTATTCTCTTCCGCAAACTAGCTAGCAAAGTAGATGAAGAAAATATTTAGTTATAGTTAAGTACCTTTGTCATAAGAAATTGTTGCCGCGTGTAAGGGCGTTCGTCCATTTGGACGAATGTAATCTTGTGAAATGTAATCTTTTGAAATGGTAATTTCCAAAATTTTGGACAGAATAGATGGATAACATCTTTGGGCAGCTAGGTAAAGCGGATTCTCCTTGGCATTGTTGGGTGGATGTAAATACTGAGGGTCTTCTGTCATCAAAATCTTAACAACCTCAAGATGATTATTTCGCACAGCCTCATACAAGGCCGTCTCCCCCTCCACATTACTCATCCTTAGCATCTTCTCGGTCTTGTTAACTCTAGTCCCGCTTTCGAGGTCTTTATCGTCCGGTAATGCTTTTGCAGAATCAATGAGTGCTTGTACTGTGGTGGTGTGTCCTTCCCTTGCTGAAATGTGAAGTGAAGTCTCACGTTTGATATTCACCCAACAAAGCAGTGATCCACTGCACTTCTGTAAGATCTCTTTCACACATTGTGTTTGGCCGAATTGAGCTGCGACGTGGAGGACTGTGTTTTTGTTGGGGGTCACTTGGACTTCTAGTTGATCTACTTTTTTCATGAGGTCATCAACATTTCCCTCTTTGGCCGCCCTGTATAAGATTGGATCCATAGATGTAAGCGACTCGTTTCTGCTTAGGCCCTCTCAGGTTTCAGCCTGCCTTAAGAGTCCTGAAGCAGTTTTGTCCATTTATTCACTTGCAGAGTTGACTTTGGGCATCCTTCTTGTTACAACTTGTTTCATTTTAAAGAAAATAAAGTACACAACCTGTTGAATAGAAGCATTTTATACAACCAACTTGTCATTTTAAAGTAGTTGAATATATTTGTAAAACGATAGGGGTTAATGCTAGAAACTAAGATACTCCTCTTGTTTGAACAGCTCTTTGTAATTCGTTATAAATTCACAGATTATGTGTAACGGTCACTAGTGCATAGACTGGGCCAGAAACATGCAGCCGGTTCAGTGGTGCCACTGGCTTGTTTTTTGAATATAAAAAAGCAACTAGCTGGCCAGAAACAGCCGCCGCATAGAACCTGCTACAATACAGCCGGTTCAGTCATGCACTTGCTGCTTTTCTAACTAGCTGCAGCCAGAAGGTTTCAATCTGGGACAATGTGCTCTGCTAACTCGTCCAAACCTCACATAATTTTAAGAAGGTTTTGAACTTCTGAGCTGTATTTATTGAAAACAACAGCCCAGTTCACGGATCAATGTTTCTTGAAATGGGGATCCAAAGTTTGATTACAAGTCCTCTTCAAAATTAGAAATCTCTGAACTGGTGCTTGAACCACCTTGAACACGACTCTTTGAAATCTAATGAACCTAGTTTCCTCGAATGGTTATTTGCTAAATTTATCAATAAAATCTATGGAGGCTCTCATCTAAGTGTGAAGAGAGAGAGAGAGAGAGAGAGAGAAAAAAAATAAAAATAAAATAAAATCAATCTGAAAAGATAGAGACTACCCTTGTGATGTTTCCGATTTTCACCATTTTCCAGTTTTTCGGAATTTCGTTGATACAGGGGCATTTTTGTCTTTTCACGTGTTGTGTATCGGACACCGTGGGGTGTGTTGGTGAGTTGTTGGGAGCATTTTATTGAGTTCGGCACTTTTTGAAATGCAAGATTGGTCATTTCGCATTTTATTTATTTATTTATTTATTTATTTTTTCGGGTCGAACGGTTCCGTGTAGGACCCGCTACAGGTACTGTTGCATACGAGAATTTTGATTGGGTTCACTTGCACTTCATGCATTTTATTTTATGTAATTTTTGTGGTATTTGTATGGTGTTGCATTTATATACATATATGTGGTGTGAAATAAAATTTAAAGCAAAAGGAAAAGAAAAAAGAAAAGAAAGTGGAGAGACCCACCACTATTATTTAAGTGGTCTAGAGACCACATTTGGTCTCTCAAATCTCTCACTCGCGTAGCTTTCTCTTCTTCCTCCCTCTTCTTCTTGATTTTTCTTTTTCTTTTAGGTACCAAACTTCAAATCAAGATTTCTCCTTCAATATTTAGAATTTTTGAAAGCCATTTGCGGCAAATTGAAACCCATGACGAGGCCTTCAAATCCATACCAGCAATTTCAGCACTTGGCCACTTTAGGAAGTCCGAAAATTTGGACCCATTTTGAGGGTTTTGCACAATTTTGAGGTAGGGATTCTTAATCCATGCAATCTTGTGCTTTTGTGAACTAACCCTTCATGAATTGTTGTTTAGCATGATTAATTTGTATAGAATCTAGCAAATTATTTGGTTGTTGTGTATATAAGTTAATGTGTAACTATGTGTATTATTTAACCTATGTGAAGAGCATGCCTAAGTGTTGATTTTCATATGCCTATAATGCTAGATTTTAATTGTATGAAAGCATGTTGTAATTTTCTTGAAAATTCTTGCGAATCATATTATGTTAATTAAATTTGAGCTAGTTGTGGGATGATGAACATGGACATGGCATGATGAATACATGCACTAGCATTGGGCATGTGATGAAATTAATGTGATTTGAAATGAAAAAAAGGAATTTTGGGAAGAAGTTTTGATAAAGATGGTTTTGAGAAAACCCAGTCGCTGCGGGGGTACCAAAGGACCCTAACGTGGTTGAGCTAGCTGGCCCCAAATGACGCCGCGGGGGTAATAAGGGTCAGGGACACTAGCCAATCCTTCTCTCGTGTCGCTACGGGGTCACCAAAGGGCTGGTTATATTAACAGTTTGAAAGTGAAGGTTTTTGAATGTTGAAAATGGGGAACGACATTGGCATGCATTGCACTTCATAGCATCATATTGTTTATGTGAGATTGGATATTATGTTGTACTTTCCTGATACAGGATGACCCCGTTTCCTATTGTCCTATTCCTTATTTGGATTCACGGGGCCACAAGAAGTGTGTCTTAGGCACCACCTACTAAGCAATTTGCTCACCCCATTTTATTTAACATTTTTCAGGGCTGGAAAAGGAATTAGTGGATGACGATCCCTCTTGAGCATGAAAAGGACTAGAGATCTATTTTGGCACCTTTTGCGTATTAGTTAATCTTTTGTAAAGTCACAAACTGTGAAAAATTATATATATATAGTAATATTCATTTTTACAAATCATGGCCATGTAACTTAACTAAGATACTTGATTACTTTTTATGTAAACTGAGACTATGTAAATGCTTATGTTGAAAGGGAAGATGATTTTATATCTTTGAAAAATTAGTAATGGTTATACCTGTGTAATGTGGTACATTTTGCCGTGAATTCGGAAAGGGTAGATAAATTTTGAAGGTCTAAGAGAAACCATTGCATATATATATTTTTTTTTTATGCATTTAAGCAGGTTGGCGTAGGTCCCTTTTTAGCAGAGGTTATGCCGAATTTTTTTTAGTATTTGGTATCATTTTCGGGTCGTGACAAAATGGTATCAGAGCATTTTATTAGAAAATTCGAGGATGTGACAAAATGGTATCAGAGCTTTAGGTTCGAATACCTTTCGGACGATGGGTAGTGGCTTACCTAGTAGGGGTAGAGAGTTGACTTGCATCGTTTATGTGCCTATGTGTTAAAGTGCTTAACTGTTGAAGAATCGTGCTTACTTGTTACCTGTTTAAATGTTTATTGTTTTGAAAGGCATGCCTATTTGCTAAGTGTATACGTGTTTAAATTGTGATACATGTAAATAAAGTGTTTATGTTAATTGCAAGCATGCCATATATGATACGGCGGAAAGTATGAGATATACGATAGTGGCGAGAAGTAGGCACGGTTAGTGCAATTTTCTTTTATGATACTGTGACAAATAATGAGCATGGTATTGTTGAATGTTATGCAGTTAGAGAATGATTATGGGATTCCATTAAGGATAATAGGAATGATTGATTCTGGTTTTGAGATCTCAAGTATGAGATAGTTGTATTGTGTGTTTTGACGAGGTCAGAACTGAATCGAATGATGTTTTGAAATTGTTTACCAGGTATGGGTATTATGAGAAGATTAGAGAGCTTTGATGTTGGTCGATGATCAAGACATTTGGTGCTATGTTGTTTTTGTTTATTATGATTATGTGATTGAGATATAATTGGGATTCTGAGGATAGGTATATGATTGTATAGTTATTGAGGTTGTATATAGCAATGGATGGATAGTGAGTGGATCTTATAGTTGTTTTGTGGATTGTGTGAGACTGTGTTTAAGGTTTGGACCTAAGGACAAGAACGACGTCTGTGTTGAGATTGGATCGATGATGAGAGTGGCCTGGCCAACCATTTCTCCTGAATCAATCCCTCTTTAACTCGATGTCGGGTCAAAGGTCAATGATTGTTTCAAGTTGTCATAAATAGTGAAAGTATGGTATTGGGTGTTGTGACAGTGTGAAGGTGTGGATTCAGGAAGTTGTCTAGGGTGATGAGTTGTGTTAAGTGGAACCAAGTGTCCAAATCCGGTTGATTATTAAAGATCTGGTTTTGAGGATTTGAGTCCTGGGCATAGGAGGGTACGCTCTATCCGTTTGGTGGCTCATGATTGTATAATTGTTGGGAGATTCATCATTTAGTTATCTTGAGGTTGATCAGTATGGATGGCAAGTATTGGTCTAACTGAGAGGTGTAGGTCTAAGTTTGAGTCTGATTGTGTGGTGGATAGGGTTCCTTGTCTTGGACTTGTGTGTCCTTTAAAGGGATGGGTTAAGATAGGATGTTGTCATGTTCAGGGGTCTTGCGACCATTCTTCTTTCGAGCCTCGTGTAGCAGTGTAGCGGGGACTAGTGTTGGTTTTAAGTCGACTGTAGAATTCAGCGGGTTTTATGTATAATGTTGTAAGTGATGAGTACCCTCATAAGGTGGTGATCAGTAGGTTTTCTGGCGGCAGAGTGTGATTGCCTATTGGCGCCGATGTCAAAGGCAATATGGTTGTTGAGTTCTTAGTCTTAGGGTTTTGTGAGGTGTTCTCAGAAAATGTTTGGCTGTGAGCCTCCTTCTTTTAAGGAGGATAGATTTCGAGGACGAAATCTCTTTAAGGATGGTAGATTGTGATGTTTCCGATTTTCACCTTTTTCCAGTTTTTCGGAATTTCGTTGATGCAAGGGCATTTTTTTCTTTTCACGTGTTGTGTACGGGACACCGTGGAGTGTGCCGAGTGTGTTGGTGAGTTGTTGGGAGCATTTTATTGAGTTCGGCACTCTTTGAAACGCAAGGTTGGTCATTTCGCATTTTTTATTTATTTATTTTTTTTTTCGGGCCGGACAATTCCGTGTGGGACCCGCTACCGATATTGTTGCATACGGGAATTTTGGTTGGGTTCACTTGCACTTCATACATTTTATTTTATGTGATTTATGTGGTATTTGTATGGTGTTGCATTTATATATATGTGTGGTGTGAAATAAAATTTAAAGCAAAAGAAAAAGAGAAAGAAAAGAAAGTGGAGGGACCCACCACTATTATTTAAGTGGACTAAAGACCACATTTGGTCTCTCAAATCTCTCACTCCCGTAGCTTTCTCTTCCACCCTCTTCTTCTTGATTTTTCTTTTTCTTTTGGGTACCAAACTTCAAATCAAGATTTCTCCTTCAATATTTAAAATTTTTGAAAGCTGTTTGCGGCAAATCGAAGCCCACGA